GACAGTATGAGTTTTCTGTTTCCCACCATCGGTCCAATTTTAGAAATATTTGCACTTTTAAGAGAACTACTTCCTAAATCAACTAACGTGTTCTACAATAATATTAAACTTTTATGTAAATTTGCCCTCTTACATTTGGTCATCGAAAATCTTTGAAGTTTCTAGAAAATTGTGATTATTGAATATAAAACTTGTAGCCAGGTGCAGTGGCTCATGCCTGTAATCCCAGCACTTTGGGAGGCAGAGGCCAGAAGTTTGTTTGAGTCCAGGAGTTCAAGACCAGTCTGAGCAACATAGCGAGACCTCATCTCGAAAATAAATAAATAAATCAATAAATAAATCAATAAATAAATCAATAAATAAATAACATAGCCAAGTGTGACTCTTGTAGTTCCAGTTACTCGGGAGGCTGAGGCAGGAGGATAGCCTGAGCCCAGGAGGTTGACGTTGTAGTGAGACATGACAGCACCACTGTACTCCAGCCTTGGTGACAGAGTGAGACTCTGACTCAAATAAAATAAAATGAGAAAATAAAACTTGCAAAAAGGAAGACTGGAAATTTATCTTTGCAAAAAGAAAGGAGGAACTAAACAAATAATGGAATGGTGATATTACAAATGCTATGCAAGATTTAGTTTTGAAATTATATTATTGGGCTTTGGAATATCTTCACTTGGGGAAAGAATATTTTGGTGGAGCTGCAAACATTTAAATTTGGCAAAATATTCAAAAGCATCATCAGCAACATGGATACAGCTGGAGACCATCGTTCAAAGAGAATTATCACAGAAACAGAAAACTGAATACTGGATGTTCTCATGGGTTTTTTTGTTTTGTTTTGTTTTGTTTGAGTTGGAGTCTCACTCTGTCGCCCACACTGGAGTGCAGTGGCCGCTCCCGGCCACCGCAGCCTCGACCTGCTGGGCTCTGGCGATGCTTCGGCCTCAGCCTTCCAAGTAGCCGGAATTACAGGCGCGCGATACCACGCCCAGCTGATTTTTTGATTTATTGTAGAGATGAGGTCTCGCTGCCCAGGCGGGTCTCGAACCCGTGGGCTCAGGCAATCCACTCACCTCAGCCTCCCAAAGGCGCGGGATTACAGGCTGAGCCACCGAGCCCGGCTTGTTCTCATGTTTAAGTGGGAGCTAAACACTGAATATAGGCATGAGGATGGAAACAAGAGACACTGGGGACCTCTAAAGGAGGATAAGGGTTGAAAAATCACCCATTGGGTACCATGTTCACCACTTGGGTGTCAGGCTCAATAGAAGCCCAAACCTCACCGTCACGAAATATACCTATGTAACTAACCTGCATGTGCACCCTTTGACTCTAAAATAAAATAAATTTAAAAAATAAAAATAAACTGGGCTCGGTGGCTCAGCCTGTAATCGCGCACCTTTGGAAGGCTGAGGTGAGTGGATTGCCTGAGCCCACGTGTTCAAGACCCGCCTGAGCAACTTGGCGAGACCTCATCTCTATAATAAATCAAAAAATCAGCCGGGCATGGTAGCGCGTGCCTGTAGTTCCAGCTACTTGGAAGGCTGAGGCGGAAGGATCGCTGGAGCCCAGTAGGTCGAGGCTCCGGTGGCCGGTAGTGGCCACTGCACTCCAGTCTGGGCAACAGGAGTGAGACTCCAACTCAAAAAATAAAATAAAAATAAAAATAAAAAATAAATTGGGCAAAACATCTCAAAATATTATAGAGACAATGAAGTAGATCCATTTTGTCTTGTGAAAATATGTATTGAAAAATGGAGTCAGAAAGAGCACCTGGTAGATATGTATACCTTTTAGTATTTTTTAAAGCCAACGTCACTTAGCAATTGGAACAATATTTTCTCAAATAAAATTATCATGTAATCAGCCATTTTGTGCCTTCTCATGGAATAATACAACACTACCTGTGAATTCTCCCTGAAGAACAAAAAAGACTCTGTATCTGATCAAGCCTCTAGATCTAACTACTAATTTAAAAGAAAGACAGGGAATAGAAAGTATATGTTAAATAATGCCCTAGGAATGCAATCAGCAAAATCTAACAATCTACAGAGCGAGTGGATTCACCGAGTTTCTTCAGAAGTAAACTATAAGGAAAACAGACAAATAAGGATGAAGGTAGAACCAATAGGTTAAAAGGTACTTAAAAGACGTATCAACCAATTGCAATATATGTATATTATTGGATCCAGATTCAAACAAAGAAGCAGAAATTTCCTAGACACTGCAGAATCACCACATGTGTCCTTTACTAACCACAGCCTCTTCCTCCCTCCAATAGTAACCACTATCTTGTCTTCAAAGTAATCATGTCGTTTCCTTTCTTAATGATTTTATCACCCAAATGTGCATCCCTAGACATTCTAGTTTATTCTTGCCTATTTAGAAATAAGTTGTTATGTCTTTGAAGTCTCTTTTAATTAGCAGATTTTCCCTTCATCTCTTTCTTTTCCTTACAACTTATCTATTTAAGAAGTCTCCTTTGGTCTGGATTTTGTAAACTGTATCTTCATGGGACACTTTGACATATTCCTCTCCAATTGGCAGTTGAATACACAGGATTAATCAGACTCAGGTTCCATCTTTTTGGCAAGACTATGGGCTGGTGTTGTGTCTCTTAATCAGGAAGCATATAATGTCCAGTTTCCTCTCTTTTTTTAATATTAGTGAACATTGATGCTCACTTCCTAGCTCCATTTAATTTATCGGAAGATGCAAAATACTGATATTTTAATTCTACCATTTTTCACTCACAAATGAAATGTTTTGATAATAAAATTATATAAGTTATATAGGCTGGGCTTGGTGGCTCACACCTATAATCCCAGCACTTCAGTAGGCCAAGACAAGGAGGATTGCATGAGCCCAGGAGTTCGAGACCAGCCTGGGCCACATAGCGAGACCTCATTTCTACAAAAAATCAAAAAATCACCCGGGCATGGTGGTGCGTGCCTGTAGTCCCAGCTACTCAGGAGACTGAGGTAGAAGGATCACCTGAGTCCAGGAGGTCAAGGCTGCAAGGAGCTGTGATCAAGCCACTGTACTCCAGCCTGGGCAACAGAGTGAGACTCCAACTCATAAATACGCGCGCATGCGCGCGCACACACACACACACACACACACACACACACACACACATTCACTCTACAAATACTAATACTGAGAAATGTAGAAAATTGCTCTACCCAGAATACTCCTTCAGGGTGAGGGCCTCATTCTCCCAGTAGTTCCTTGGAATTCCTTCCCTGAACTGCCCTTCCCTGAACTGCCTCAACTGAGGTTGCACCTTCCTCTTGGTAGGTGCTGGAATACAAAAGCCAACCCTTCTTGTTTTGATTTGTTGCCATTTTGCAGGACCACCCTAGCTCTAGAGCTCCTTGTAAGATGGGTGGAAGTCTCTGTGGCAACTTCTTCCACTTCCTTCACTCCATCATTGATGTTACTTCCAAGGCCATTCCTCAGGAAACTTACCCAACAATCTCCATCTCAGAGTCGGCATTCCCAGCAAACCTAAATAAAATCAAGTAACCACTACATGGACAAGACACTACTGTTAAGCAGGGTTGGCAAGCTTCTGTAAAGGACCAAATAATAAGGTTTTTAGGTTTTGGTGGGCTATATCTTCTGTCATGTACTTAACTCTGCTATTCTAGTATGTAAGCAGCCATAGACAATGCATAAACCAATGAGTATGGCTGTGTTCCAAGGAAACTTTATTTGTGGATACCAAATTTTAATTTTATGTAACTTTCACACATCACAAAATACTGTCCTTATTTGGGTTTTTTTTAAATCACTTATAGAGGGGAAAACTAGCACCTGTAGTCCCAGATACTTGGGAGGCTAAGGTGAGGGGCATTGCTTGAGCCTACAAGTTCAAGGTTGCAGTGAGCTAATCACTGCACTCCAGCCTGGGCATCAGTGTGAAATTCCATCTCAAAAAACAACAACAACAACAACAACAAAAACAGTGGTTTCTCTTGCCCATGCTTGCTCTGGCATGTTTCTCTATCTTCCCTTTCTTCTTTCTCTAATAAACTGTTCTAAAACTTTTTTAAAAGGCAGGGGAGGGGAACCATTCTTAGCTAACGGGAGTTCAAAAACAGGTGGCAGGCTAGATAGATTTGGCCATAGTTCACCAGCCCCTGAGCTAGAGGAAAGGGGTAGAGCAGGAAAGCCCACATGAGGCTACCATGCTAGTGAACCAGTTGACAGAATTTGATATGATCCCCTAGGGCCTGTAGCCCAGTTCAGAGGCTAGGAAAGACCCTTTCTGACTCCAGGTCAAGAGAGTAAGAGGGTGAAAAAAGCGGGAAAAAATTAAGATTCAAAATTTCTTTTGAAACTTAGTACCAAAAAAAATCATACACAGCAAAACAGAACTAAATGGTTTAATGTGCACTATGTGGTGTTTTCCATTTTGAAAACTTCGTCTCTACCAACAAACAGAAGTAGGAGACTTCAGTGGTGGTTTTGTGGCTTTGTGTGTGACTGTGGCTGTAGCTAAGTAACCATTCAAAAATAAAAACACAACTGCAATTTGCTACAGTTTTAATATTTACAAAGAATATATCTTTACATGATCTGATACAAAATAGAGAAAAATATATAAACATATACGTTGAAAAATACCTTAACCTGTCTTTCTACCCAAATATAGCAGCCTTCCACGAACCATTTCTCTCAAGAAGAAACAACTTGGAGGAATGTATTTGGGTAACAAATATATTCTTAACTCTTTACCTTTTTGGCTTTTAAATTTTGCCATACTGTGTTTCCTTTTTATTTGTCTAGTCTTCTTTTTCAATTTCTATATCTTTTTAAATGAATCATAACCTTTTCTTTTTGATCATTTATATTTTTGTATGGACCTCTTTGGCATCCTTCCTTGTGGCTCCCCTTTTCACATTCTTTCATCATGTATAATATTATGAGATGTTTCCTGAATTCACACATGACTTCCAGATGACATTTACTTCCCTAGCTCTTAACTCCCTTTCCCTCCCACTCCAGCATATTCTCAGAATAAATGAATCAAATGTTGCTTTGCACTTGAGTATATGAGAGACATGAATGGAAGCATCCTCTCTATGGGTTTACATTGCTATATTGAGATATATGGAGACTAGGGGTGCTGATTTCAGTCGACACCAACTGCAATAGGCGGCTCATGACTATATCCTTGGCTTTTGAGGTCTCTAGGTTCTTCTCTCGAGACACTTGAAGACTGATTTGGTCCACACTTGCCATAATGAGTTCAGATGCCAAAATCTGGGTGGGAGAACTGTCATGAAACACAGCATCCATAATGTACTGTTTATATAGCTCCACGACCTTCTGCTCCAGGTACTCATTCAGCACTGCATTAGAAATAGGCTTCTGCATTTGCAGGCTGCTTTTCTCTTTGATGCTGGTTATTCTCCAGTAGGATGAATACCGCTGGACAGGTTTTGGGGGAAAGTCGCTAGGCTGAGTGGACATGGAATCCTCCATGGGCAAAGGAATCTCAGACGACTTAAGCAAAGGGCCATATTCAAAACTGCTCTCGGAGGGAAAGTCTGTTGTCACTGAATTAATGGCCATCACCTGGCCCCCTGCAATCTGTAAATCATTGTAATTCTTGCAAATACTCTTGCAGGAAGGTGGAACCAAGTAGGTCTCTCTGCTGGGGTGTCTACATATTTCAACTGCCGCCAAGTTTGGGCTTTCAAACACAGGATTGGGGTTTGTCTGCAGCACTGTGACTCTCTGACTTCTGCTATGTTGACTCTCTCTTGAATGCACTGAAGAAATAAACTTGCTGGATGATTGGCAGCTCACGTAGAGTCTTCTGACTTGTGTTTCATCCACAGAGGAATAGGAAAGAGCAGCAACAGAATTTGTTTCCTCTTCCCTTTCCTCAGCCACTTTCTCCTTATATGATGCGCAACTCCAGCGGATGTCGTTCCAGTAGGCAAGTCCACTGAGATAGCCTTCTGACAGCATTCTGGAAAGAGAGTTAATGAGTAACAATGGGGAAAACTGAGACTGGAATTTTAAAAATTGGCAGTTGATATATCAAAAAAGTAAACAACAATAAATAAATTCATTTCATTCATTCACCAAGCCGTTACTAATTCTGTGCCTATTGCCTACCCGGACCATGCTAGAGATAAAAAGACATGCTAGAGATAAAAAAGATGAAAAGGACACAGTTCCATCTTTCAGGAAGTTTCCCCCTAAGGGAGAAACCAAAGTAGATACAAATAATTCCAATATTATTTCATTGGGGATGATAATAGTGATAGACAAAAAAGTAGTACAGAGAAGGGGCCCCTAACTTAGCCTGGAGCAAAGAAGGAAAAGTCACAGGATGTGTCATAGGACAGGTAACATTTCAGCTAAATGGTAAAATGTAAGTAGGAGTTTTAGCCATAGGAACAGAGCTATAAGAAAACATGGTGGCATGGACTATTTACCATATATCAAGAGGCTGAGCAGAAGGGGCTGTGAAGAGAAGCTAGAATTGAAAAAAAAGAAGAAGAAGAAGCTGGAATTGGATCGTGAAGGACACTGGGAGTGAGGCAAAGGCATTTGCCTTCTTCTCCATAGGAAATGAAAAGTGAATGAGAAGTCACAGATTAGGGAGCAACATGGTTAGTTGAGTATGAGAAAAATAACAAGGAAAACTGTGGTAAATTCCACTGAAAACAAGAACTATAACTTACTTATCTTTGTATTTTTAACCCTAAGAACTAGCAGAGTTATTTGCATTTTGGAAGGACTCAAAAGATATTCATTAATTTAAATCAAACAATTAACAACAAAGGCATGGTATGTAATTAATTCATACTTAGCATATCATGAAGACCCACAAAGCCTACTCTAGCTTTGCAGCACAGAATGGATTTTTTTTTTCCTGAAGTGAGGTTTCATTCTGTGGCCCAGGCTGGAATGCAGTGGCACAATCGCAGCTCGCTGCAGTCTCAACCTCCTGGGCTCAGGTGATCCTTCCACCTCAGCCTCCTGAGCAGCTAGTACTTCAGGTGTGCACCACCATACCTGGCTTTTTTTTTTTTTAACTTTTTGTGGAGATGAGGTCTCATTATGCTACATAGGCTGGTCTCAAACCCCTGGACTCAAGTAATCCTTTCATCTCAGCCTCCCAAAATGCTGAGATTATAGACATGAACCACCATGCCCGGTCCCAGAATAGATTTCTTTCGTTATCCCTCCCACTTTTCAGAACACGTCTTGAAAATGTCTCTATAAGCAACTGATATGTTTACCTCTGACCTAGTTACCAAAGAGCCTTTCTGACCATGGGCTTTCCCTACACCTGCCTCCCCTCCTCACCCTCGGCAGTTGTCACTGAGGTCTAAAGTGGCTAGAATAGGCTAGAAACTAGCAGCTGCATTTTCTAAAAAAAGGAACACACTGGCATTCCTGGAACTGGGGCAACAGGCAATAGAGAAGAAAAATGGTCTCCTTGAGCCTCAAGGACTGGGGTTCTAAAACAGACCTGTCAACTTGAGCCTGAAATTGAAATGTCAAATCAGAAAACGATTATTTTTTAATCATATATAAAGGTGACTTTTTTAAAATTTTAGCATTTCTTTTACATTTATGCAGTTATTTCTCAGGAAAATAGAATATGTTCCTCTTTTTTTAATCACATAAGGGTAATATTATAAATTTTTATTTTCTCTTTTGGAAATGTTCGGGTTTATTTAACCAATGTATTAATTATTTAAAAATTTACTGAATTCCAGGCACAGTTATGTGCCATAAAGATACAAAGCTAAAGGCCTTCAGCAAATCCGTGAAATAGTTATTGTATAATGAACATACTTATAAAAATAAAGAATTGTTTTCCTAAAAAATGAAAATGTTGCTCTTTCCTGAAAGTGCAGTTCTGCTGAGCATGGTGGCTCATGCTTGTAATCTCGGGAGCTTAAGCCCAGCAGTTCGAGACCAGCCTAAGCAACATAGCAAGACCTTGTTTCTATAAAAAATAGCAAATATATATATATCCAGGTGTGGTGGTACATGCCTGTAGTCCCAACTACTCAGGAGGCTGAGACAGGAGATCGCCAGAGCCCAGGAGGTCGAGACTACAGTGAGCCTTAATTGTGCCACTGTCCTCCAGCCTGACTGACATAGTGAGACCCCAACTTGAAAAAAAAGTGCAGTTCTACCTTTAACAAACCTAATATCCAGGTGAAAAGGTAAATCTTACATACATGGGAAGATAATGAACTGAGCAAAAGAGTTTATCATAAGAGTGTATCTAATAGTGATGCAAGCCGGGCTCAGTGGCTCAGCCGGTAATCCCACACCTTTGGGAGGCTGAGGTGAGTGGATTGCCTGAGCCCACGGGTTCGAGACCCGTCTGGGCAGAGAGACCTCATCTCTACAATTAAAAAAAAAAAACAAAATCAGCCGGGCGTGGTAGCGTGCGCCTGTAGTTCCAACTACTCGGAAGGCTGAGGCGGAAGGATCGCTGGAGCCCAGTGGGTCGAGGCTGCGGTGGCCGGGAGCGGCCACTGCACTCCAGTCTGGGCGACAGAGTGAGACTCCAACTCGGTGGCTCAGACTGTAATTCCGCGCCTTTGGGAGGCTGAGGTGAGTGGATGGCCTGAGCCCGCGGGTTCGAGACCCGCCTGGGCAGCGAGACCTCATCTCTACAATAAATCAAAAAATTAGCTGGGCGTGGTAGCGCATGCCTGTAATTCCGGCTACTCGGAAGGCTGAGGCGGAAGGATCGCCGGAGCCCAGCAGGTCGAGGCTGCGGTGGCCGGGAGCGGCCACTGCACTCCAGTCTGGGCGACAGAGTGAGACTCCAACTCAAAAAAAAAAAAAAAATAGTGATGCAGTTACTTCCTGACTCTCCACATCCTACCTCCACCCAGGCTGTAGCTAGGGCATTCCAACTTCAAGGACTCAGAATATCATTGTTGACTTTTACATTCCTAAATAGGTTTTAGAAGGTCTTGGGAGAAATAACCATTTTGGAGAAACAGCTTTTGAGAAACCATAACCAGAACTTTTACACCTCAGAATCCAGAACTGTGAAGGACTTCAGGCATATTTATTCATCGATAATAGACTCAAGTGGACTGAGTCTATTCCTTCATGGAGGGAAACAAAATAACTCCAGAGAGATCTGGGAGCCAAGAGTAAACAAGGTCACAAAACTGTATCATGCCCAGCATGGTGTAGGAGCAGGAGAAGAGACAGTTACATGATTCATCTGGGTGGATAGGCCTGAGGCTGCTTCATTAAGTCTCCTCTCACATCAGCATGTTGCTGAGAGCCTACAAACCTGGGCAAGACCTAAAGTTTGGGCTGGAAATATGGCAGATGTGATTTCCATAGTCTACTAACCAGGGGTCAGATAAATGATGAGAAGTTGACATGGATACCAGTGTGACCACATGATGACAACCAAAGATATCCCCCACCCACTCCCATCCCCAGCTGACCCTATGGTTCTACATAAGCAACCTGGGGCTTAGAGGCAAACCCAAGGAAGAGGAAGCCCTGAAGTGACTGAGAAAGTCTTAATTGACAGCGAGTACTTTTCCACCACTTGGGAGAACATGAGCTCAAAAAAGAGATCAAATTGAGGTAGAGAAAAAGCAACGACTCCCAGGAAAGATAGCAGCATAGGCATATGCATGTATTTTTTTCTCCCTTCTCAACTTCATTAAAACGACAGTAAATGATTTTTAAAAGGCATAGCCCACAAGAAAAAAGAAGAACAGAAGAGACCAGAGTAACAACATTTTAAAGGCTGGAAAGTAGAAGATTGAGGATTAATGACTCAGGAGAACTGAGAAACCTGAATCTTATGGAGCCATGGGAAAAGCCAAGACCTGATCTGATTTCATTCTCCTAAATGCTGAGGAATTGGCGATACCATGTATCCATTGGGAGTGAGGTTAAATGGGTTATAGCTAAAGTAAGAAAAATGAAAAGTCTGCTTAAAAGGCAATCAGAAACCAAGATCCTCTCCGTCACGCCATGTAGTTAGGTGAGTGTCTCCCATCTTCAACCCCAAAGAAAGACTTGAGAGTTAGTCTCTGAAGGATAAAACATGGGATCTCTGGACTAGGAGACACTAGTTGAGGATAGAATTGCTAAATTAATAATATATAGATTAAATAAGCGTATGCATATTGGTGCAGAGATCTAATACCTCTCCCCTTACTCAGCTCCCACCCAGAATTCTGGCGAAAGGGTCATCCACCCTCTTTCCAGGTACTGGAAAGATTGTTCTAGGCTATAATACTGAGTGATCTATCACAGAGACAAAGAACCGAGTATCTTTGTTCTCACTCTTAAGTATCTATGTTCTCACTCATAAGCGGACCTTGAACAACTATCGCAATACTATAAGAAAGGAATTGGCAGTAGTGGGAAACTGCTAGGGGAGGGCACACCTCATCAACAAGGGTAACTGCATAATGAACATTTGTACACTTAACCCTGAATTGTACCCCACATCTTTAAAATAAAAAAATTTTTTAAAAAGTAAAAGATTGTTCTGGAAAATCTGACTAATCTGAGAAGAAGAGCAAGTGACTCAGCTGGGCAACCAGATCGTCCTTCATTCAAGTTCACACTCATTAGAGCCTATTGAGCTTTGGAGATCCTCATCCTTAAATATAAGTAGAATTTTGAAACTTCTGAAGAAAGGTCTGATATGAGAGAGACCAAAATAGCCACTTGCAGAAAACAAACTTGGAGGCAGCAGAGGTGAGGGGACTCTATCATCAATATTCTCAAAGAGTTAAGGGCTAATATTTTCATCTTGAGTTACAAATAGGATGCTATAAAAAGAAGTATTCTACAGCTTTTGGAAATTAAAAATGATTATTTTAAAACTCCAAAGAAGCATTGGAAGGTAAAACTGAAGCAAATTCTCATTTTGAAAGCAGAACAAAAATACAAGGTGGAAAATAGCAGAGAAAAGGCCAATTTAGGGAACCAGTCTAGGAGATT